GGGCCGAGCGCTGTGATGTGTCGGCGAGGGGTGTGACGTGTCGAAAGAGTTTTCTGGTGTGTTTGGTTGTTTTTTTGGGAGTTTTTTTTTGCTAATGTAGCTCTTTGTGTCTGTGCTTTAGGACAGCAGTGATGACATTGAAGATGTGTCTCTCTTTGATGCAGATGATGATGTATCCAGGAGATCCAAAAAGTCCAGAATAAGGTCGGTGGCCGTAGAGAGGGTTTCGAGATGAGTTCTAGGGGGAAGCATGAGGAAGGGAGGACTTGTTTAGGGCATCAAAATACGTAATGTTAAATGTCTTCTTTATTGATTTGGAAGTAATGGAGAGTAACTCCTGGGTAACTGAGAGCACTGGTTGCAGAGCTCAGTTGGAATCTACAGGTCTGTGCCTTCCTGCTTCTGGGTGCCCTCACATTCACAGAATCAGAGAATATTGGGGTTGGAAGGGACCTCAAAAGATCATCTAGTCCAGCCCCCCTGCCAGAGCAGGATCACCTACAGCAGATCACACAAGAACGCGTCCTGAATGTCTCCAGAGAAGGAGAGTCCACAACCTCCCTGGGCAGCCTGTGCCAGGGCTCTGTCACCCTCACAGGGAAAAAGTTTTTCCTAATATTTTTGTGGAACCTCCTGTGTTCCAGCTTGTACCCATTGCCCCTTGTCCTGTCATTGGACGTTGCTGAAAAGAGCCTGGCTCTGTCCTCCTGATGCTCCCCCTTGACGTATTTATAAACATTTATGAGGTCACCCCTCAGCATCTGTGCTCCTGTGTGTAAGAGATCTACATTGATACAACTGGCACCTGAAGGGAACCTGCAGGAAGGCTGGGGAGGGACTTTTTACAAGAGTGTCCACTAATAGGACAAGGGGAAAGGGATTTAAATTGAAGGAGAACAGGTTTAGATTGGATCTTAGGAAGAAATTCTTCAGTGGCAAGACTCTGGAATAAATTGTCCAGAGAAGCTGTGGCTGCCCCCTCCCTGGAGATGTTCAAGGCCAGGTTGGACAGAGCCCTGAGCAACCTGGGCTAGTTAAGGGCATCCCTACCTGTGGCAGGGAGGTTAGATTAGATGATCTCTCATCAGTCAACCTAAGACATTCTGTGATTCTGTGGTTCCCTGACTCTGTGCAGCGGGATGTTCTCCCCATGCCAGGTGCTGCTTCTGGGCTGCTCCCTTCTCTTTTCCCCGTTCTTCGTTCCTGGCTGTGTTTGGTGCTGCCTGCTGTGTCCTGGAGTAGTCGGTCCAGCCACCTCCTTCTTCGTCGTGCCTAAACTCCTGCCACAGGGCACCATGAATGCAGAGGTGCTGTGGGGACCTCAGCTCCGTGCAGCACGTTTCTGACCTGGAAACAGCAGAAATCAGAAAGAAGGGCAAGACCACTGTGTTGAGAAATGCGAGCCTTCATTCAAGAGGTCTTCCCCCATCAAAACCTTTTTAAATTTACCTCATAAAAATGGCCTTACAGCGAACTCCGTGTCCCCTTCCACCCCAGATTCTGCCGGCACGTGGGTCTATCACAACATGTAGAGCGTGTCTTCCTTCCCATGAGCTTCTAACCAGGTTATTTCCTATATTTTCAGGAGCCATTGCGCGCTGGGTTCATGTTAGGGTGCTGATCCTTACCCTGTGAGCTGGTGGGAGATCGCCTTGGCAGCGTCATTTCTCTGAAATTGCGTCAGTCTTGTCTGAAAGAGGGGTGACTGTGCTGTACTTCATTCCAGGCATCCAGTGGCATCGTTTTTCCACTTATTCTTCCGAGTCAGTGCGATAGTCGTCTATCTACTCTGTGAGCTCTTGACTAGCAGCTTTATTGCCTGTATGGTGACGATTATCCTCCTCTTGTCCTGTGACTTTTGGGCTGTGAAGGTAAGTTCCCCTTACATTTTTTTATTTGTCTTACTGTGTAAGAATAATGGAACAATGATATTTGTGTCACAAGAAAAAGTAACTTCGTTGTGCCTTTCCCACCAAACAATACCCAAAATCCAGCACTGTGTCTCAAAGCATTACAAAATAATAGCTCTTAAATCTCCATGTGCCTGATTTCTTCATGGAAATCAAACAGAAAATATATATTAGGTTTTCTTTTGCAATGGCACAGACTTCTTTATCAGATCACTTTTAAGCACCAGAAATACACCTCACAGTAATTTGGTATTGTACTGGGCGTATTAGGAAATAGGTAGTTGTGGACAGTCTTGTTTTCCCAAATGTGCCGCAGATGAGCAGCACCGAAAGCAACAACCCAAGCGGCCGAGCTTTGGTGAATAGTTTCTTTTAGTGCAAAACGTAACAAGCTCGTTGCTTTTCTTCCGTTTCAGAACGTCACGGGGCGACTGATGGTTGGCCTTCGCTGGTGGAACCAGGTGGATGATGATGGTAGAAGTCACTGGATATTTGAAGCCAGGAAGGTAAATTCTCTTTTCTTTTTTTCCTTGATTGGTTCTGTTTTGTGAAACCCCGATTAATTAGTGGTTTTGCTTGGGATGGTAGATCGCCCAACGTAGGCATTTACTTCCAGCCCCCAGACATGTGACCATGTGTTTCTTTCACTTAGCTGCTGAATGAGCTTTTTGATTGTTGATTTATTTAAAAATTCTCATGATACATTAATCCAGCTTAATGTAAGTAGCCTAAAACTTCCACATAAAATTCAGTCAAAGCTTCTGTCTCATGTTAGTAACCTGCAATTTCTCTGGTATGAGCTTGGAAGAGCTTTTATCTCCTATAAAAAAAACTTTTGGAAGTAGGAAGAAACATCTGGCGTTTGTTATTGCCGTTGCTTTCCCTTTGCATTTGGGGTGGCTGCTGCTGAGTCTCTGGTGTCCCATCTGTCCAGCATCTCACGACGTGTCACGTATTTACCCTTTTTATTTACCCTTTTGATCCCTCTCCCTTACCCGTGTTTGCACGGAGGTGACGACGTGCGGAGCTGGAGTGAACTCGAGGTTGTTTCCTAGAGCATGTGGGAGCTCAGCGGTGGGGGAGGCACTTTGTCACGGGTCAGGGCTGGGCCGGCCGCTAACAGGGACAGACGCTCTCTGACCCCCTCTTCCCCAAACCTTTCTCCTGCTGAGTTTGTGACCTCTCTATAGGCACTTCCTCTAAAGCTGGTTTTGGAAAAGCTCAAAACCTTGTTTAGAAAAGCCAAAACGTATTGGGGAAGGACAGGAGAGGTAGCTGAGCTGCTGGTGATGCCATAGATTTGGCCGTAAATTGTTAACCCAGCCCAGGTGTTTTTAACAACTGTAGGAAGAAGTGAGTGCCTGCTTGGGCTCTTCTGCAAAGACTTTATAAAATCAGTAGCGTGGTGTGAATGAGATCTCTGTGTGTCTAAAGAAAATTTGTGATGTCTCAGAGTATCAATATTTGGTTCTGCCAGTGCTAGGATTAGTGAAATTCTGGTTGCCTGTGCAGCAGTTTGGAGGCAGATAACATTACCCCTTTGGCTGGTTCTAGGCTTCGTAGCTGAACCATGCAACAAATGTTGTGTTTTCAAACCTTTTAGCCCCAGGTGTTCCCAGAGAATTTGATGCTGCTGCCTCCTACTGTTTCTCATAGAAAATTGACAAAAGGGTCCCCAGAAAGAGCTTTGTGATGTAGAAACTGATCTTGAAAGCCCCCAGGGCTGTTGTGTGGAGGCAAAAAAGGGTGGACTTGTAGATTCTGGATCGTTTTTAATGACAATATGATCTACAGAGCCTGTTAATCTCCATTTCCTTCCTGTTTGTAGGCATCGACACAAGGAAGGAAAACCTCTTCGGAAGCAGAGTCCCGAATTTTTTGGTTGGGTCTAATCACCTGCCCTATGATCTGGGTGATATTTGCTTTCAGCGCTCTCTTCTCTTTCAAAGTGAAATGGCTGGTGAGTCGACTCCCTCACCTCGGGGACCCGTCCTGGGTGCTGCGGGCGAGGTGGCGTCCCTCAGCGACTGTGCTTTCCTCTGCTTTAGGCCGTGGTTGTGATGGGAGTGGTGCTGCAGGGAGCCAACCTGTACGGTTACATCAGGTGTAAAGTCGGCAGCAGAAAGAACTTGACGAGCATGGCGACCAGCTATCTTGGGAAGCAATTCTTGCGGCAGGTGAGATTTCCAGGGCTTTGGAAGCCCTCTGGGTCCTATTTCTTTCTGTCTATAAGCTTCCTTTCTGCCTAGGCACGAAGGGAAGGACTGAGAAAGTTGTTAAGGATAGTTACTGCAATAGAGCTGGTCTGCTGGGAGTAAGGAACTTGGTGGAAGCGATCCCAGAGCGAAACAGGTTTTGATAAGCCCTCTTGCTATTCGACACGTAGAAAATCGCTCCTTTTGTCACACCACTTCCTCTTCAGGTTGTGCTGGCCACAAAACCACGCGTCTGGAGGGATGTTGCGTTGGTCCTTGGGCGTCAGTGCACAGCTACCTTTTATATTCTTCCTCACATCCAGCCAGCTCTGGGTTTTCTTCCTTCCGTAGGTCCCAGCGCTGGGTTTCCTTCCTTCCATAGGTCCCAGCAGCAGCAAGCACATCTTTCCCCTGCTCCTTCTCCTATTGTTTAATTTTTGCTCTTATGAGGCTTCCTGAAAGTGCAGTGTTATGCACGATGGCCCCAGGGAGGGGCGGTTTGGCTGCTGCAGGTTCAGGGAAGTTTGTTATTAGTGTGATCTGAAGTTCAAACGTTGATAAACCTTTCTCAGCAGTGCGTGCTGGGACTGTGGTGTTCTGTAGCTGGGTTTGCTTCTGGATGCTTTTACTGCTGCCGAGGTTAACCAGAGGCCCAGAGCAGTCTTGCTCTCTGGCAGAAACTGATGTCTCACCAGAGAATCGTGGCAGCGAGTCACAGTTGTCCCATACCACTCCTCTTTTTTTTTTTCTTTTTTTTTGCCTTCTGCAGACTGTGGCTAAAGAGGACCAAACAGCATCCTGAGCATGGTGAAAGCCTCAGGCCGGACCGGATTTGCAGTAGTGGACAACAGAAGGTTGCTCTGACTGTGAGATTTGGGAGCTGCGTACATGAGGTGTGAATTAAAAGAAGTAAATAAATTGTTCAAGACTTCAGGTTAACACTCCTAGCAACTTCTTTTCGATTTTTTTCCAGTAGCAGTTTGTATTTCAGTCCTTTTCTTTAGTTTGATTAATTAGAATTAATTTGCCTAAAGTTTAAATTAAAAAACATCCCAGGTGGCTTTCATACAGGTTTAGAACTACTGGGTGAAATAAGAAAAAATTCCTGGACATCTTTCTCCATGAAAACCATGCACAAGCCGAGCTTTCTGTTAGCCAAGAACTCCCCCAGCTCCTCCAGCCCTTGGTGCCTCAAATATTTGTGGACTTCGCTACATTTTTTTCTTGGAGGTTGTTGCTGCTTCTGGTATGGAGATGAACTTGTGCTCTCTCGGTCCCGCATCTCTCACCCTGTGATGTGAGCAGCGCTGAGACGGTTGCAGCGCAGGACGTCAGAAGGAAATGTCGCTGGGGCTCAGTGAGGAGATTGTTGAAACAGCAGAAAGTGACTCCCGAGCAGCTCTGGTGCTTTCTTTATCCTGGAGGTCTCAGTAACACCTTAAACCCGGGTTTACAGGAAACCCCTCTTTTACAAGCTGTGTCTCTATGGAGAGCGCAGTGAGAGTAAAACCACGTTAGGAGGAAGCTTTGCAGGCACGGTTTGGGAGATGGGGTGAATCCTTGTCTGGCCAAGCCTGTGACGATGCCTCGCGCCACGTCGTCACAAGTTTGGCACCGTGGGTCTTTCTGGCCAGGAGGACACAGGGTGGTGTGAGCTGCAGTTCCCTCCCCTGGTGCGGATCACAGGGAATGGGACCGACTGGGCTTTGCGTTTCGTGAATCCCGGCGGTGTGCTGTCCTCGAGCCGCGCTCCCCTGGGAGCCTGCGGGCTGGGAAAAAAGCCCTTTGGTAGGATGGTGAAATGTTGGCCGGCAGTGTCCTCTTGGATGGCAGAAAGTGGGGTGTTTTGTGTGAAAAGCTGTAGGAAAGGGGTCGGTTCCTTCTTGTGTAATTCTGTTCGAGGCAGGTCGTGCTTTTGCAGTGGTGGATATTGTAAGCTTCGGCTGAGGTTATTCTAAATTAAGAGTGTGGTTTCCTTTTGAATAATGGGTGTTGTAAGTCGCGGGATTGTGTTCACATGATTTCTGTCCTCGTGCTGGAGCGATACTTGGGAGCTGTACATTTGTTTAACTCTTTGGATTGATACCTTCCTTTTGTAAATATGTATTTATAAAACCTTGAAATTAAAGGAACGCTTTGTTTAACCAGACCACATATCCCTTTTATGGCTCACGGCTGAGCTCTCTTTATCCACCGTGTTCTTGTAATGAGGATCACTCGTTATATTTAAACGCTGCTGGTCATCGAGCTCTGGCACCATTCCTTTCCCCCTGGGGTCAGTTTTGCCCTTTTCTAGTCCCTATTTTCATGGAAGGGCTGATTTACTGTAAAGGAATGGATGTAAACAGCCCACATGAAGCAAATTACTGAAGTAAAGGTGCAGCGGCCGGCAAGATGGGTGGGAAATCCTTTCTGCTCCAGCCTGACGAGCCCTCAGTTTGCTGGGGCCGTCAAGGGTCAGCACAAAGCCCAGCACAGCTCCAGCCACAGGGCCCTCCTTTTAAAATATGTTGAAAGTTTTTGCCTTTAGTGTTTATTTTCCTCCTGGCAAAGGTCTCCCCAAACCACCGGAAAATCAAGAGCGCTTTTCTGGAAGCTGCAGTTTATTTGGTCAAGGACAGGGGCATTTATTAGTACATACTTTTAAACATAGCCCTTTCTGTTTAAATACAGCCCTTTCTGGCTTATTTTTAGCCTCTTGGCATATATTCAGTCTTTTTGGCTGCTGAGAAGCTGGTATTTCATTGCGATTCTCCACGGCTTGGATCAGAACCAAATTTCTTATCACTGTCCCAGTTGGGCATGAGGCTCATTTGATTTTTTTTTCCTCATCTTCTGCCGGGCTTTCCTGTGAAGCAGGAAGTGGGAGTTGCCACAGAAACTCTCTGAATGTGCTATTTTTTTTCGTCAGGAATCCATACTGAACCAGTTTCTTCAGCGTTAGCTGTGTAACAGTGGCGCCACCTAAGACCTCCAGGCCTGGACTGGGGCTGAACTTTCAGAGTTTTACAGAAGCCGAAATGCTCCAAGAGCAATAATAATAATAATAATAAAACACTGTTTGCACCGAAATAGCAAAGTACGCCTCAGATACTGCGAACGCAGCTGGAAGGTGGGTCAGAAACCATTCTTATTTCATGAGCAGAGTCATTTTGAATCCTTGGAGCATCGTGTTCTGGGCCAGGGGGGAGTTTGCTCACCGAGCTGGGGACAGAACGGGCCCTTGGGGACACTTGCTGTCCGCTTTGGGGTGCACGAGGCCTAGTCCCTTGCTGGGTCCTGGGGATGAGCTGCTCTTTGGCCACAGTGGGAACCAGTGCTTTTAACACGTGATGCATCCAAATATTCTCAAACAAACCAACAAAAAAAAGGGGTTAGGGCTGGGTTTGCCTCAGCAGATGCATCTAACCCCTATGTTTCCCCCTGTCCTGGTGGGGGAGAGCTGCGGGGAAGGGTGAAGGAGGGATGCCGAGTGCGCATGGGGCACCTGGCGCCAGCACACAGACCCTCTCCGTCTTTTCCTGCGGAGATTTCTTGGAGATTTGTCAGGCCAGGAGGGTTTCAGGAGGGTCAGGAGGGTCTTTTGTCAGTTACTTGGCACAGGCCACGGTCAGCCCTGCTCACGCAGGACAGGACATCCCAGCTGGTATTTCCTAAACAAAAAGCTGACTACAGAAAGGTGACCTCTGGGGAGACTGAAAGGAGCTGGGATGCGGGAGCGCAGGGTGGGTATTGGCAAAAGCTTTCTGCAAAAAAAATTCTATCCCTTTCCTCTGTATTGTTGTCTTCTCGCTAGTTTTGCATTACGGATTTGATTTTTCCCTGGTGCCACAGGCGAAAGTAACTTTCCCGAAAGCAATGAAATCGCACCGGCTGGAGCAAGAGCTCTGGAGAGGGGTCAGCACAGTCAGCTTGGAGGAGAAACATTTTCATGATGAGTTCTCATTGGAAACGTTAAAAAATAGTTTTCAAAACTTAGGCTTTTAAGCCAAATTTTTTAGATGTAACATTGGCGTTCATGGTGCAGCTCCTGCCACGCGTCACTCTCGCCCCCACACACCCAGAGGCAGGATGTTCCAGGGGTCTCAGCCTGGGCCGGTTCTGTTGCACGGAAAGCTCTGCCCTCTGCCATTTTTCTGGATGCTACCGGCACCTTAAAAAATAGTTTTCAAAACTTAGGCTTTTAAGCCAAATTTTTTAGATGTAACATTGGCGTTCATGGTGCAGCTCCTGCCACGCGTCACTCTCGCCCCCACACACCCAGAGGCAGGATGTTCCAGGGGTCTCAGCCTGGGCCGGTTCTGTTGCACGGAAAGCTCTGCCCTCTGCCATTTTTCTGGATGCTACCGGCACCCAAGCAGCAATTCGCAGGTTGGCACACAGGTGCTGAGGCTCCTTTCCGTGCTCCAGGTGTGAGCAATCCCCTGCCAGGGCAGCTGAGGCCGGAGGGGAGGGACAGCAGCCCAGCTGGAGCAAGGTAAACTTGAGAGGTGTTGGGGTAGAGGCAGAGGTAGGTTTTGTGTCTCTGGGTGGTTGCTGTGGATGTTGTTGGTGATGGGCTGGTGTATTGCCTTGGCAGTGGTTTGAGTCGGGAGCCCCGTTCCCGGGCAGTGGAGCAGGTCTGTCTGTGCTGCACCAAGGGCCCCCTGGAATGGACGTACCTGGCACAAGTCCTGTGTGTCGTCCAGGAGCCCAACCTCTGCCTCTCCAGTGCCTGGCCCCCCACCCTCTGCACTGAGCCTGCCAGTGACTTCCAGGGTGCCAGCATCTACGTGGAACATGTTGAGCAGCTGCCTCAGGTGGTAAGCAAGGCAGAAGGGGCTCAACCCCACCACGTGTCTTGCTTCAGCAGCCATACGCCATGATGAGTGGTCCTCTTCCCGCAGGCCAGCCTGCAGAGGGACATCAGCTGCCGGACAGCCAGCTTCCCCTGAGAGCTGCTGAGCAACCAGAGCACCGCTGGCCCTGACTTCAGAAAGATGGCACTGGTCAAAGGTAAGAGCAGGGCCAGCCTTGGGGCTTCGCTGCTGGGGCAGCTCCAGGGTGGCATCAGATATAACGTGGGATGAGCGATCTAAATTGCTTGATGCTTCATTTACTTTTCTGTTCTTATACCAACATAATCCTGCGCCTAGTAATGCTTGTACACAGATGTGGTTGTGTATCCAAGGAGCACTGAGGCATCCAGCTGGTGACCAGCTCCTCTCACCCTTGGCTGGGGTGCGGCAGTGCTGGTAACCGGTGTGTGGCTCGGAGGAAGGAGATAGTTCAGGACAGCATTTAACAGTCCAGAGGCTACCACAGCCTCTGCAGCTCTTTTCTCTCTTCCCCATTTCTGAGTTACGCAGTAGACAGCCTGTTATTTGTACACTATAGTACCTTTATTTCTGCCTTCTTTACCGATTGCTTCAACTTTGACTATGGAACAAGTCATTCAGAGTTAGGGCTTACCAGGAATGTTTATTGAATTCAGGCTATCACAATTTATTCATTTGACAGCTGAAAAGATCAACAAGAGGCACCTTCTAAAACTGTTACAGGCACAGCCGTAAAGCAGATGGCATAAAATCAATGTCTGTTGCCCCGACAAGAATGTCTAGCTGACACATCTATATGAAGTAACATACAGGGTATATACTGAAGTACGTGGCTGATAGAGCAGTACAATCGACAGGATTATAATTATGTAAGCAGTTGTTTTTCTAACTGCAGTATTTTACTCATGTTTTATTGAAGAAAGGATGAAATTTAAACTATATTTTCAGTGGGCAAGCTTTTCTCCATTTAGTTTCACTTGTACATTAATATGCAAATCATTTCACACACACACATGGCTTTACTAACACCAGAATTAGTTCTTCTTCTAGACTGGATAAGTTGAGTTCTTTACAGTATAAAAAGAGAAGTATGATTAAAACATGTGCTTCTGTCTACATTTTGCTTAAAACCACTACAGCTTTGATAGCTAATGGTTGCATAAAACCACTTTCATTGTTTTGAAGAGGCTTCTGAACCATTATTTCCCATGCTATAGCTAATATTTTCCCCCAATGTTTCGATATATCCAAGGTATCAGAAGCTAATCAAAGTCAGTTTTCAGAAGTGCAGCAATTCAGTTACGCATTTCTCATTTCATTCCAAATCAACAGAAACTCACTCTATCATTTTTAGTCATTCGTAGCAGAAAAGAAAACCAGAGCATCAGAGATACAGCAGCAGGCTTGTTTCGCTGCCTGTGGTAGTGCAGAGCTCCTCCTGTGTTACCTACTGTTAACCATATCCAATGTCCCGCTGAGAGAATCCAGCCTTGCCTTGTCCAACGTGGTGCAGTAAAAGCACTTCTTTACTTTGAGTATCACTCCAGACTATGGCCAAAGAAGCCCATCGGCTCAGAGGTTAATATTAACACCCCTTTTAAAGTCAAGAAGCAAGCACTACAAAATGTGGACCTTCTCCGCTGCACAAACCGCCGCAGCACGTTTTTCCCATGAGCGAAGGGACGGAGTACTCCTTCAGCACCCAGCCTGGCACAGCCAAGCAGCTAAAGGGACAGGATTTCTCAGAGGAAACTACTTTTGTCCCTCACTGCTGAGAAGCTGGAAGTGCAGGGGAAAAAAGTTTCACATTCATTGTTGGCTTCTGGCAGGATGCATCCTCCTTCCACACCTTTTGAAATGTTCTGCTTGGTTTGGTGGTTTTAGTGCTGGCTGTGCTTTGGAAAGCTGAGACCCCTGAGATAGGACAACTGCTCCAAAGACAACCGTGACACTTTTGGGTCCACCATTGATTCCATGTCCTGTTCTGGCCAAAGAAATGGAAGCATCTGTCCTTGACAAAGTACCAAGAACTTACAAACTAAGGGAAAAGAGAGACACCAAACCTGAATTCCTGCAGGTTTCTCTCTTTGGCTAACGTGAAATGTAGTCACAGAGGTTCTTATGAGCCTTCTAACAATTCCCTTCCAAACTGCTAGCTTTGTGTTTTATTTCACCAAGTCCTATAAGGGAGACCTTTACAAATCAAAGTCCAGCAAGTCTCTTGTGTGAGCTTCCTTGTTCTTCATGGGCTATTACAAGAAATAAGAGCTAGCTAGCATGGCACATCCAGACATCAACAAGATACAGTCCCAGTGAGAGCCACTGCCTACGGATTGTTCTAAAGTTGTAAGAAATGCAGAAGTACTGATCCCTCTGTATGTGGTGAGGACTTCTGAAGACATACCACAGCCCAAAGGAAAGAACACTGTAAGAACTACAAATCCATCCAGTGGGAATGGACATCTGTTCTCCTTTGTGCTAATTCCCTGTATGTTTCAAAAGACTCACATGTCTGCCTGCAGACTTCATGCAGAAAGGAAACAGCCTTTTCTAGGTACTGTGCACGCTGTCTTGAGACTCGTCAAATCAGGGTCCCAATAACATGTAGGAAATCCAGTTTCTACCAGCTGAACAACTGAAGATACACCAGCAGAGAATATCCCACCTCACAAAGAGGAAGAGCTTTATGATAGGAGACTCTGCTTTAAGCGAACAGCACATTTATGCTCCCTATACAAGCCCACAATGCGCTCCCTCAACTCCTCAGCAAGCAAAAAAAAGCAATGCTGAAGTGCCTTCAGTGTGAAGAAACGAAGCACATTCTGGGTCAGAACATGAGACAAAATGCTTCATGTCACAAAGTATATTGTAACAGGGCGCACACTACTGATCTGCAGGCTGTCTTCCTGAAGACTCGCTGGTGTAATCCCAGTCTCTGAGTCAATGTCATTTATTTCCTGGTGCTTCTGACACCATTTCTTATCCATCAACTCTAAAACTCTCTGCATTTCCAGTCTGATGAGGTTTGTCTTACTGGCTTTTATAAGTTCGTGTCATAAGACCTGAACTTACTGTTCTGTACCATCTCATGAGCAGAGCCCAAGAACACGTGTATTGCAAAGCCCAACTACGCCTAACAATCTGCAGAGAAAAAGGCAACACTGTGACCTACCTCAAAGTCTGAATTTGTCAAGAAATTCTTCCTATTTCTTTCTCAAAGCAGTTATTGCTACCTGTGAAACGCACATTAATTCTGGGGATCCTTGACAGCAAACCACAGAAGCCACAGCAGCTACTGAAGACATTCAACAATGATTCGTATCGTAACTTTGCTTTTAGAAAGAAAATCAAGGTCTTAGTAAAAACTACGATGAAAGGTTTTGCAATCATCAACATTTTACTAAATTGCTATCTAAAGGCTTTAGCAATTCAGATCAAAGAATCAGTAGATTTCCCAAACTGCTTAAAAGAGCTAGTAATTTTTGTCTCAATCTTTGAGACTTCTTAGACCAAGATAAACGAGTTGCTTCAGGGCTGATTATCTGCATGTAAGTATTTAGGCAAACTAAGTTAAGATACGAGACCTTACTATTTCATTGGGCAGAGGGAGAGAACGGTGCCACTGGAAAACAACCAGAAGGCTGGGTACAAAGCTTCAGTAAACTGGGCTTTGAATTTATAGATCAGGTTGTGCTTCTCCCCAACAGCCATGAAAATCACAAACCCTCCCTCACAGTGGAGCAGCACACCAATTTTGGTAGCCTTCACATTGGGAAGGCACTTCTCGACATCATTATGCCAGGATGATATTTTGGAATTAAACCACTCGATACACCACGAACGGCTGTTCCGCCCCAGGCGGCTCTCGGGCCCCTGTCGGTCCATGCTGCCGTAGCAGATGCCGATGCCGCAGAAGTTGTTCTGCTGCAGCTCCACTTCCCAGTAGTGGACACCTGTCTTGAAGCACTGGAACCCCAGCACTTGGGAACAATCGGTGAAGCGCTGAGGGTGGGGGCTGTAACTCAGGGGGATGTCTGAGACGCACATCCTGGTGTATGTGTCAGACAGAACCACTTTGTTGTGAGCCGTGTTGTAATCCAGCATGATGTTGGCAGCATCTGCAAGGACATGAATCTTTTGAAGGTACTGAAGAGCAAAGCACTTCTATTTATACTGTCCTGCCTCAGCACTTGTTCCTATGCGTGTTAAACTCCCTGCTCTGCTCTTCTCCACAGCACAGGCAGTTCTTCAGGCCACAGTAACAGCTGCTGAGCTCAAGTGCAGCTGTGTTACACAGCAGCCAAACAGAGGGCGAGCTCCTTTCCTTCCTGCATCCCCATGGCATTTCTTCACCACCCAGATCGACACTGGCAGAAGAAAGGTGTACCACATTGTAGAGCATCTGGTATAGCATCTTCAGCAAGCCATCATGGGCTTCTGTAAAAGCCTGCACTTCATTTAAAAAAAAAAAATTCAGTGCATTACATCATATGCCACCCTAACATGGTCATTTTAGGGTAAACCGAAGCCACCACTGAGAAAACTTCATTTACCTTCATAAAGATAAATGAATACGGAAGGTAAATTTCATTCATCTGGCAAACAAAGCCACTTGGAAACCTCCAGCCCCCTCTTCCTCCAAAAATCTCCTTTGTAATAACCAGCTGATAACTTACTAAGCTAACTAAACACGCTTGGAAGTACTTTTGTCAGATAACTATGAAGGGCACATAACACCAGTGCAGTAAGTGCCTAAAGTTCATCTTTAAGTAGTGTAACGTTGGGTGTCTTACAGTGCAAAAGCTCCTCTCTGGATTTCTTCAGAAAGCTGTCAATAAGCTCTTTAGTTGCAGCAGCAGTTGCAGGGGCAGTTGGAGCATTTGGTATCCCCACGGTTGGCGCTGTGTCGACAAAAGAAAAGAGAGTTTGGCCAACTGGAAAGAAATCCTGCGTGCTTCAGGGTGATGCACACCATCACAGACACACTCGCAGTGAAGCGGATCTCTACAAGTTACCTAGTTTAGCTTCCTGCTCCATGCAGGAAAAGCCCCTTTTGTCTCTAAGAAACCTCTTTCAGTCCTTCATTGCTCTCATAGTGAGCAGCAAGAGCCTTCTCAAAGCAAGAGCTGAACTTTTGCTTAATACATCAACACTAGTGACCATCTACTTAACATTTTAAGAACAGTCAATGAAAATTAGAATAAGTAGAGTGAAAGTTTGGACTCACCAACTTTAACGGGTTTCTTTTTCTCCTCTGGAGGGGGGAAAAAAAAAAAAGCAAGTTGCGAGTTCTACTGAGGCTGAGAAGTCACTGATAGGCTATGCCAGCTGTAACACTATCATGTGAAGCTGCAGCAGTAGGTAAAGCTGACAGTCCAGCATGCTGGAGCCGTGTACAAATACACCCATATATACTGGAAAGCTACACACGGAGCGCAACCTATTATTTGCTTCCTGTTTCACAGGGTCAGAAGCCTGGAAGGAGCTTCATGTCTACTCCAGGATGCAGCAGGTCAGGTAATATGTCAGTTCCCATGAGGCACACAGATAATTTCTTTTCTTTTTATAAGACCTAGTGCAGTAACAGGAGCTACAAATGCATTCAACTCCAGCATCCCCAACAGACCCCACTCCCAGGACTTGTGAAGGGAACAGACCGTGTGTCAAGAGCTCAGTGGAAGTAAGAGAAGTAGTTTCTTAACACTTGGCTTTACTTCAAAAAGAGAATCTGGAAGATCTTCCAGACGGGCTGGAGTGCTGCTTTAATACCAGTACCTGGACAAAACAACATGGAAAAGCCCCAGCAGGTCTCCATCTGCCCAGCCCAGGCCTGTAGGCAAGACATGGCCAGAAAAACATTTGAGGAAGGCTGCTGTTAACCACCACTTACTAGTATCTGCCTCCACCTGCACAGTGGCTTGAGCCTGGTGAGGGACTTTCTCTTTCTGGGCATGCTCTTGTGAGGGGGTGGGGAAGGAAAAAAAACCACAGTCAGAACATAAGAGCTCATAAGCAGGATTCCACACATCAGACAGGCCAACAGGTGTTCAGCACAAATGAAAAAAACCTGCAAGAACCAGAGGGTGGGGAGGCTCTGCCTTGCTCTGCAGCCTGGGCTGACACGGCTCCAGGCACACACCGAGGCTGAGGCACCTCCTCACCCGCACGGTTTTGCTGCCTCACAGCACACGAGGCACCCGTCGCTCAATGGCCCCAATCAGCCCCTTCCCCAGGCCAGAGCCCCCACTGCAGATAACCACCGCGTCACTGCCAGGGCTAACAGTTTCAATTCTTATTTAACAGTTAGGAGAGGATGATGTTGCTTAGTACTTACTTGGTCCCAGAGGCTTTTTTCCAGCAACAGTTTTGTTTTGCAAAGCCACTGCAGGGGGCTTAGTTTTCCCAGGTATTGGATTTGCTGTAATGGCAATATTTGACATTATGGTTTGTGTTGCCCGGAACAGTAATGCTTCAGCAAGGACATTTTTCAATCTTATTTTTCAGTCATGTGAATAGAACGTGATACTTGTCAGAGATGGAAATCGCATAGAAGACACCTGTGCCCCAGGCCAGAAGATACTTTTACTTAACCTGGTAAGTAGGGCTTGTCCTACAACACCTACACAGTCATCACCTTTACAGCTGGGTAACCATAGTCCGGTCACTGTAAAGCATTTTCTTCCCTCAAACCCACATCCTAACTGCATCCAGCCATGCTAAATAATAAAAACATAAATTACTGTAAGGAATAAAGGCCAAGCTGTTCTAGAAGGGCATAGTATCATGATACTCATCAGCTTATCCAAGTATAGTTAAGAGTGAAGAGACACTGGCATGTCTTTTCTCCTAGTTCAGCCTAGACTGTAGCTGTTCTGTGTGGCAGCGGAAGACCAAAGAAGTTGTAAGACACAGTTTATATTAACCAACTGTATTTGCTGCACTATTTTTTTTTCAGTTATATTTGGACTGGAGGAGTAAGATCCCTCATTTAAGCTTAAAGCAGACAATACCAAGTCTCCCAGTGATACAATACCTTCTGCTTTCTTCTCCCTACACTGAGTCAATGAAAGTTTCACAATGTCTTTAAGGTTAATGGCAGACTGATAAGTGGAATGTATCAAGTTTTGGTCCATTTCAATTACAGGAACATAAGCATCCTTTGTTGATGTCTTTTGCAGTGCTGCTGCTCTCTGAAATGACAAAATGTGAGATCTCATGCAGACCAGCTTGCGTAGCACACTTAGAAAAATACAACCAAGTTAAGAAAAATACAACCAAGTTACTTTAAATGGGGTAGGGTTTGTGTGTTCATCTCAAATTCAGGGTGCACTCAGACACAACCCATGGCAAAATTTCAGCAGCAACCCACGTGCAGCGAGAAAGGACTACCAGAGAGTGTCACAGCACAGAGCTGCAACACCTCGTGGAGATGAGTCCTCTCAGCCACTGGCCCCTCTGCTTATGGCAGAGGCAGCGGCTGAATTAGGGGGAGCTACCAGACACCATTTCAGCACTCTCGCTGATACTTCTCTGCTTATCAATATATCCTTTTAAGGCAGGTTCTTGCACACAACTGCATTACCATTCGACTGAAAGCGTCTGGAGAGCAGGGCTGTGACAGCAGGGCTTTGTGATGCTGCATTCTAGAAACACGAAGAATTAGATTCGCATTTAAAGGACGTATTACCTTCAAAAACAGAATGTCATCGCCCTCATTCAGTGCCATCTCAATCTGATCTTTGAGAGCCTGAATCTCCTTCTTCTTACTTCCCAGAACACCATAAACATAATCAAACTTATTGGAAACTCTTTTTTCTTCATCTGCAATTACTTTCAAGGATTGATTTTCTCTTTCTTCAATTAAAGCTTTAATTTCAGAAAACTCACTTCTCATCAAATCTTTCTTTCTTGAAGCAGTCTCCTAGAGAAGACAAGAACAGGCAGACACTGGTTTCAAAAGAACCGTTTGTGGATAAAGTACTGCTTACTACCACTACTACTACTACTACTACAACAACAAGAAAGCCCCTGAGGAACACGTAGGCTTCAATTACTTGAAACAGGCAATGGAAGAGCTATGTATTTCTATGTAACGTGAAAAAAAACCCTCATTTATGCGGAGGAATCGGGACAATTCTCCATTTCCAGATCTGTGCTGCCCAGGGCCATCTAGTGGCTCCAGCCCCAGGACGGGAATGTGAGCTCCAGCCCTGCACACCCACTGTGTGGCGCAGCCGGATGGGTTTGAGCCCCATCATGGGTCAGGTATGTCAGCACGTGTGGGTATAAAGCCCTTCCACGGTGGCAGGTTTACTCCTGTCTCCCACAGAGCTGCCTGGCTCTGCCAAAACGCCTCTTTTCTGTTCCTTCCCAATAATGTCTTCTCCTGCCAACGCAGTCTTGAATGCCACAGCAACCTGACAGCGTTTGGAACCGCTACCCACTTACAGCAGCTTGGCTTTGGCTGGTTTTCACAGTGTTCATCGCCCGAACAGCTTTTTCACTCTGATTATGCAGCTCCATCAGTTTCTTCTTCAGCGCTGACTGCAACAAAGGAGATCAGAAAGTATTTCAGAGAAGCAGTTGCCGTCTCTGCTCTCATTAAGGTCATGCTTCCTGGAGTAAGAATTGTATTTACAGAAAGTTTTAGATAGCCTCTGTAAGCCTTTAGTACTATTGGTTTAAAACTTACTGCTTTTTAAACCTTACAAGATGCACAAGTATGCTCCTGCACATGGGTGGCTTATGGGGCTGGCACCCTCCCCGCAGCGAGATGCGCGTGCTTTTGACTCACTCTCTTGATAAGGCCTGGGTGCTTTCACCAGTGACCAGTGCAAAGAACACGCTTCACATTAGCTGGCAGGTTGGACTTTGAGCACTAGGTTAACATGTTCACCCCTCTCGTTTTAACTGAGAATTTTATTGCTCAGATGATCCTTTAGTTCAAGATGCTGCTAAGCTGAATCAGGGAGAACTTCCGAGGATAAGCCACCTAAACTTTTGAAGTGCGCTTTACTCCTCCACCCTTGGATTTTCAGCTGTGCTGTAGGCTAGGAAAGCCACGTCTCCTTCCCAGCACTCTGTGGAGAACTGCCTCCTGGCTCTCATCTATGCGCTAGGGATCTCCCTAGACTACTTTTCTAATTCTTTGCTTCTTAAGAGCACACAGAGTAATGTCTCCCTGCAGGCCCTCAGTCGGGTCAGCCACCCCGCACCATCGTCCTCATGGTTGGTGCGGAGGAGGCTGGGAGGTGAGGGTGACGCCTGCAGAGGCAAGAGGCCTCAAGGGTCAGCCCAGCCCAGGAGAGAAGCTGGAAACCAACTCCGTGACAACTTCCCAGACGCTTGGAGAACCCTCGGGGAGAGAGAGAAGGAAAACGCAAGGAACGGAGCCGCAGACGCACTCGAGCACGCAATGGAGGGCAGAGGACTGTTGGCC